TTGGCGACGTTCAGGAAGGACTGCATCATCTCGAACTCGAGGGTGATGGTCACCAGGTCCCGCTGCGCCTTGTGCCGCAGCTTGTTGTCCTCGTCGATGGCCGACTGCACCTTGGTCAGCGCCTCCGCCACCACCGTCTTGGACAGCCCCACCGCCAGGTCCGCCATGGCTGGCTGGCGCCTCCCCGGCTGGTTCTCTCGATCTGTGGGACGAGCGGGCCATGGCTTAAAATCGGCATTTTTGCAAATCAAATCAACCAGGCGCCATTTACGGGACTGTTCTGTGTGCGTACCTGGCTTAGAGCTCCCGAGCAATGGCGATGCGCGCGCCGTCCGAATCCCTCTGTTGCGCAGAGAGGGAAATGATGGATTCGAGACTGGTGGTCTCCCTCTCTCGCCTGACCCCAGATCTGGCGGCGGCCGGCCGTCTCTACGGCGGGCGGCGAAGGAGAGATGCTCCCCGCCGGCGGTAGCTGCGATGGATTTGCGGCGGACGAGATGGCCGAGGAGGGGGGAGACCGGGAGAGAGACCAGTGACTCAGTCAGTCAGTCGCCGCTCTTTCGTGGCAGCTACATATGGACACGGAGAAGGAAGGGGAAGAAGACAAGAGAGGAAGACCGAAGGGTGGACTCCATCATTGACCAGCCATTGACCGGCCATATGATGAACTCTTTTATTTTCTTATCATTTCTTATCACCGTGCAGTGGAAAAGTGCTTTACGTAATTTGCCAATGTTTCTTGATGTAGAAGGTGGTTCGTATATTACTAATTGGCAAAGAAAAAAAAACATAGCGTGCATAAGAATTTTGTCCAACCATGAAGAGGAGCCTTGCCATAGCAATAAAACTGTTGCCTCAGATTCGAGCCCTGAAAACAGCCTCTTGTAAAAATGCATTGAAAGACCATGTACAATAAACCCAAAATGATCTGACCCTTTCCCGGACTATACGCAAGCGGGAGCTACATGCATCGGGTTACCCATTTAAATTTGAATCAAATGTTGAATGTGGACCTAAATTTAGTAACTTTTGTACTCCCTCCCTAGCTATTATAATATGTTTCGGATATTTCTGTATGGACTATATAAAGGTGGACAAACACATTAAAATGCGTCTATATACATACATTTGAATAAAAAAAGTTGGAATATCATATACAGTAATTTGAAACGGAGGGAATATGTGTACTCTTTGGTTTTTAAGATCAAAATCTGTTAAGCGCAATTACATTCACTTTTCTTTCACAGTATCTGCTAAACTTATTATGTGCATTATTTCACATGTTTTCTCGTTTGCACAAAAGTACAACGGAATTTCTGAGTGTGTGTGGCGTGATGACCCGCGAAAGAGAGACTAGTGACTCGGTGACAGTGAGTCAGTCGCTGCTCTCCCGTGGCAGCTACATACACGGAGAAGGAAGGCGAAGAAGACAAAAGAGGAAGACCAAGGGTGGACTGACTTCATCATTGACTAGCCATATGATTAACTCTTTTAAGACTCTTTTAGTTCATAAGGTAGGAAAATTATAAAAATAGAAAAGTCATATAAAATGAGATAATATGTATCTCAAATTTTATGAATAGAAATAGAAAAGAAGGTACCCGTTCATGTCATATGACTTTTTTCATTGAATCTAGACTAGTATTTATTTTCCTATAAAATAAGGAGGATAGAAAGAATTCCTCCGTAAGAATAAGACTCTATTCCTACAAACTAAAGGTCTAAACAACAACAACAATAAAGCCTTTAGTCCCAACAAGTTGGGGTAGACTAGAGGTAAAACTCATAAGATTTCGCGACCAACTCATGGCTCTGGCACATGGATAGCAAGCTTTCATGCACCCCTGTCCATAGCTATCTCTTCGGTGATACTCTAATCTTTCAGGTCTCTCTTAACAGACTCCTCCCATGTCAAATTCGGTCTACCCCGCCCTCTCTTGACATTCTCCGCACGCTTTAGCCGTTCGCTATGCACTGGAGCTTCTGGAGGACTGCGTTGAATATGCCCAAACCACCTCAGACGATGTTGGATAAGTTTCTCTTCAATTGGTGCTACCCCAACTCTATCTTGTATATCATCATTCTGGACTCGATCCTTCCTCGTGTGGCCACACACCCATCTCAACATATGCATCTCCGCCACATCTAACTGATGAACATGTCGCCTTTTAGTCGGCCAACACTCAGCGCCATACAACATTGCGGGTCGAACCGCCGTCCTGTAGAACTTGCCCTTTAGCTTTTGTGCCACTCTCTTGTCACTGAGAATGCCAGAAGCTTGGTGCCACTTCATCCATCCGGCTTTGATTCGATGGTTCACATCTTCATCAATACCCCCATCCTCCTGCAGCATTGACCCAAAATATTGAAAGGGCTCCAAAGGATTTTTTCCTGCATAAATCTTATCCCATGAAAATCCTACAAAATTCCTCCAAACCAAAGAAGACCTTATTTTCTGAATCATATCATTCTTAGCATCATGTAGTGGAACAATACTTGATGTGCTTTTCAAGATTTCGTTAACATAGCTAAGTTTTTGTTTGGGGAGCACTTTTGTGAAGGACAATGTTATTTCTAGAAAAAAATGGAATTTTTCTGATGGACAGATGTCGTCTAGAAGTCGTGGGTTCTGCACTTCTGCTCGACTACAATTGCGGGGTGGGTTACACACTAGTTTTGCAAGTTCATCATTAC